CGCGGGGTGGCGGGCTCCAGGGAGACTGTGGACCGCCGCCGCCGTCGCGAACCGCGAAGTAACGCTATCTGTCGGCCGCCGCCGGTACTACGGAAACAACAACAACGTTCGCCGGGACAAACGACAACAAGAAAATAATGGATAGTACTTTTTTTAACGGTCTACGGTTTTACCGCTCGGACAAAACTTGTTTTCGAATTAATAGTTTGAACGGTCAATAAATGTATACAATATTATTGTTATTATTATTATTGTTCTGTAATGAAGATACATTAATTTGTTGTAAAATTGCAGTACTCACTTAAACTTCGAATTCATAAAAATATGATAGAAATATTTGTATTTTGTATTCGTAATACCTACTTACCTATTCAGTGTAAAATAATTTCAAACAGTATCTAGTTCTAAACAGTTCTGAATAATAATTATTTGGCTGATTGTCCCATCTCGGATGTGCGCGGGGACAAAAAGTGAGAGGAGGTCTCGTGGTATATGATGTTATGCAGATGATATAGTTTTGAAATCTGGAACTAGTTTATTAGCCTATAGGCGCCTTTAGGTAAATCCTGTCCAGCTTTTATAATATATTTTTTCCCCGATAATTAGACGAAAACGATAGTATCTCAATGTATAGGTTGAGATACATTTAATACACTTATTCATATCATGAAATATGGGCAAATTAAAAATATTATTTCGATTGAAAATAAAAAACTAAATATGTTAGTAATTTATTATGTCACCTTATAAAATGTATGAATTGGAATTTTTAAAAAATGTTCCTGTATGCCGGTATACGAAAGGTTTCTTGGAAAGGTTGTCATAATGCAACCATATGCTTTGAAGATGTTTGTTGACCGTCGACATAAAAACATCCAAAAGAATTTTAAAATTGAGGAAAGTGAATTTCAGCAACAGTCTCAGGATTTTCGTCTATTTTCTTCGGTTTACGTTGAGGTCGATGATGTTTATTAAAATCTTTTCCAGACTCGACATTAAATTTCTTTGCAATGATCGCAGCACTTTCTACTAATACATCAATTTTTTATTCATCATTTAATTCTTGAAAGGATTTTACTATACTTTCAATTAATTGCGTGGCATCAATTATACTTAATTTTTCTGCTTCTAGTAACTCCGTAATATTTTTTACTTTAAACATGATATTTTTAAATAAATATAAGGTACAAATAAAATCAAAATCAAACATTTTTTTATGCAGTGCCATTGCAAAACATTTGGTATTAGAATCAAAATCTTTTGACGATTTCATATCTTCGAAAACATGTACCACATTCTCATATCCAACGGAAACCGATTTGATAGATTTTGCCAATACTGTCCACCGCATTTTAGACAAAAATTTTAATTATAGCGAACTCTCGAGAATAACTAATAAGTTTATGTACATTATTATCTATGAGCTCTACTCTATACGTCTACGGTCTATTATAGTTTATAATAATAATACTATAAACACTTCCTATAACTCCAACATCAGTGACGACGATTTTATAAATGAAATAACCTTGCCGACTATTTCAAGTCTTTTACCAAATGTATGATTTTCTGTCTGACAAAAACCTCTTGGGGGGTAAGCACCCCCACCCCCCCTTCGGAACGCCTCTGCCTACTATTTCATCATACTGAAACGGGGGGACAGTGGATATATAAAATTTCCACAACATTTGATTAATGTTATTTTAAATTTATCGTGGTTTCATACAATTTTTTATTTATAACTGTTCTAATAATAGAGTGTCTTATGAGTGGAATTTGTAATGGTGATCTTTATGGCTTAGCAGAGCTCTTCTACTTTAATTTTCCTAATCCAAGTAGAAATAATATTATAATAATAAGAAGAAGATTTTGTTTTTCTTTCCGTCATTATTATTAAGTATTATTATTAGGTGGCATCTCCGTTCATCCGTGATATTGCGTACACCTTAAAGTCGAAAACAAGGCCAAATGGTTGAAATGGTTTCGTATTATTCGTTTTATTATTATTATTATTATAGATAGGTATACCTACCTATTTTAATCGTGAATCTGATCCACGTGCGAATCGAGTACAAAAAAAAATAATAAAAATAATAATATGTATAATATTGTCAACAGCAAAAACTGTGATGTCGACGCACGCTGAATATAGCACAACGGGTATTTCTGCTGCTGTGGATAGTGATGATGATGATGATGATGACAATGATATAACGGGACCAAAAATAATGTGTAAAGACCTCGAATTCACGTGCGCATATCGTGCAAAGGACAACAATCCCGGGATTAACGAAAACGTGATTTTTATCTCTGATATAAAAGTATAAAAATAAATATATATGCTACAAAAATAATAAATAAATATATATATTTATATAGGGAAAAAAAACAAAACAAAGTCTGAATAGCATTATAATTTTGTATAGGTGATTGTGCGTAAAATGTAAATACGACCGGTTTTGATTTAAAAAAAAAAAATCATCATAGAACAACAAACACGAAAAAATAACTCAATAAAATTAAATAATACCGTAATTTTTTCGTTTTTACGGATGATGATATTTTAAACCATCGCTCGTCGTAATTGCGCGCAATCTTTTTTTAACACTCCAGACTTTGTTCTTTTCTTTTTCTAAATAATATATATTTTTTTATTTGTATTGTATACATACATTATATAATATAAATAATTTTAAAAATATTTATCAACGCGTATTTTTACATTTATTTGTTTTAGATTCTGAGCGCAGCGAGGAATGTATTAATTTTATAATGTTAAAGCTGTAAGTATATGGCGCGTGATTTTTCTTTCCGTCTGTTAACAACTTTTCTACCAGAAATTTCGCTCCGATCAACGAATAACGAGGGCTTTCTTATACCGTTTCGAATCTAGTTGGTCGTTTGGTGTATTAAGTAAATCATTTATTTGATTTTTCTTACAATTTTGTCAATAAGTGAGAAATGCCGGGAAAAATGTAAGGAACGAGGGAAAGTTTAATAAAAAGGGTTTCATTATTCACGATTTTTTTTTTTTTTTTTGTACTTCTATTGAACATAATTAGAGACCAGCGATTTTCAAAGAATACATATTATATATTAACCTTTTCTATACGTGTTATAATGATATCAAAACATTGGTCTATTTATATAGACATTTGACAATTTACACACAGATAATACAAACTAAACAACTCTATGTATCCTACTTTCCTAACTGTCCATTTATAATAGTGGTACACCTAACAACAGTATCATCCTTTTTCAAAGATAATATTTCTATTAAAAAAAAAAAAAAATACAAAACCGTATTTTTGCACTTTTTCTTAGTCTACTATGTAAGCAATATCTCAGATATTATATTAAAAAATAATTTTTACATTACTGTCAAAGCGCGTCAAAAACGGATTAAATCGCAAAACTGAAAATGCGTAATACGTATACACTATAGGTACACCTTATGTCGGATATACAGATATCATTTGAATTTAGTGGTTCCGAAAAATGTGCAAAATGTTGTCTATATGTGTGAGAAAAACGCAGTTGTTGGGAAATTTGTAAAACAAACAAAAAACACGTGTGTTTATAACGAAATGTGTGAAATCGAAAATAGCTAGCATGTTCGTTTAATATTGAAAATCGCGTGACACGATTTTATCACTGTATCCAAATTAATACATTGAGTATGCATAATTATTACATACATACAAATATGCAGTATTTACAATGAAATTGTAAACATTGCAGTAAAACAGACAACGATTTATCCGTCGAAAGGTACCTATATTGCATTTACGGCAGTAAAATTCAATTAAAATAATTGATTCAACCACGATTTACTTCAGATTTTTACGGTAAACCTACTTTAAAGATCAAACGAAATATACATGAATATATATGAGGTTATAAATGAATACTCGTGGAGTAAATTCGTTTTAAACGAGAAATTCCGTATTGTACCTATAAGAGTTGTTTAATTCTGCAGTGTGTACAATATATATTTATATTTATTTAGTGGATAAACCTTATTGGCATTTTTAACTTAGCGAATATTTAGGTAAAAAATGTATGATATTTTTACAAATTAAATAGGTAGTCAGACGTATATGTTATTATGATACTGCGTGTATTTCAGCTCGAATGGTATCACGAAATATTTGTGCTGGTTTTTTAAGAAAAACGAAAATTCCAAAATATATAAATTTTTAGACTATTTTCAAAATTTTAACCATTGCTGTTCGTCTCTGCACAATATTACTTACGTTTTCTTAAACGGAAATACCTTTTTTTTATAGCTAGATTCGATAAGTTTCATTTTTTTTTTTTAAAAAACTTTGACTAACACAATTTTTTTTATCTCGAAAAATATTCATCTAAAGTGTATTCATTAATGTCGGTTTTTGTTGAAAAATAGAGGAATAAAATATACTCTACAAGATGTGCGTGTTTCGGAACTTCCGATTTTAGAAAAAAGAAGAAAAAAACTACAATCTAAAACGTCATTGTACAGCTGGAATATTTCGTGTCACCATTTGAATGAAACACGCCTGTTGTATTATATACGTATACAAACACATTAAATAAAACAGATGAAAAAAAGGGTGTTAGCATTATAATTTACGCTGCAGTATAAATAAAGTAAACGAATTTATTATTACTTAAATCCTAATTCTACAATATCAAAAAATATTATTATAAATTTGAATATTAAGTGGGGTTCTATACATGTATGTATACTAATTGGGTACCGCCGATCGAACGAAATATAATGGTAATTTACTACCGTATTGCCTTAAGTCATAATAGTGAATGTGTGATTTTTTTTTTCACATTAAGAATTATAATCATATTATTATAGGTATTGCCGCGTATAAATTAATAACTCGAGATAATATTGGACACCTAATTGTATAAGATATTCACTTTGCGTTGTAAATTTGCTTAATATTATAAAGATTTTTTTTTTCGCAAATGTTAGGCTAGTTTTAAAAAATATATATTTTAAAACAAAAAGTATTCGTTTCGATGAATAAATTAACATAATATTATTCGGTACCTATACACCTATTATGATACCATGTATACTGTTTAATGATTTTTGCACCGTAATTATTACAGTATTATTATGTCATTATTGATAATCTCATCAATGGTCGTACCAAAGTAAAAATCGCACCTGATCGAACTTGTTACGTTATACGTTAATACCAACATTAACATCATTAATAATAATGCATTATTATCATTAGTACCTAACATAAATAATATTATTACTAAACATACTATTTATAGAAAAAACAACTCTTATCAATAATACCTTTTTTAATAATACCTACATCCAAGATAATATTATGAAACTGAAGTTACTTTATTTTCATAAAATATAATAGATAGCGACTGACTTTTATGGTTAAAGGTACTCAAATACAAACACGAATTTTAACAATGATTATCTGAAGAACAATATAATACCAATGAAATGTGTTTAAAACTTATCTAATACCTAATTTTATTTAAATTTCTTAAACCATTGGTATATTGTATCAATGTCCGATTTTTATGAGAACAAAGGTTAAAAAAAATAATTATTATTATTATTGGTATTAAAACAAAACAACATTTTAATGAATGAATAAATAGTAATAATTTTAAATATTAATTAAGTAAACATTATCATCATCTGCTAATGACTGTTAAATAATTTAAGGAGCAATTTTAAACTTTTCAATCAAACTATCATATCGATATAAGAAGTAAGTATAGACAAAGTGAACCTAAAATCGTTAAATAAAAATATATTTTACAGCAAATATTACAATAGGAAACTACATACATTTGTTTAGGATGGTCAAATTTTTAATGGTGACCTTTTTTACAATCACTTTTAATTTTTAATTATTTCCTAAAATCCAAGGGAATAAATTTAACTCCTCTTACCTCCCTCCCCTTCCGAACGCCTATGCAAATCACCAATAGATTTAAATTAATTATCTATAACATCGTGCGAGAAATTGAATATAAAATAAAATTACCGTTATATAGATATATATTTGTATGCATTGGTTGTTATCCTTGGTGTATTAATAGATCGTTTGATTATTTGCCTAAACATTTGATAAAATGAACACCTATTATAAACGTGATTATTTTTGCGCTGTAACAGTTTACAAAAAAAAAAAAAAAACCAAAAATAAATCAAAATTAGGTAGTATTAATTTGACACTTTGACATTGGCGTTTTGAAGCAACTAGCGTATACGTTATGCATAATACATGTAATACATGACATTTATCACATAATATCCCCTTATTGTAACACTTACGAATATATACATTCTATTCGTACATAAATACTAGCTTGTGTCTGATAAGATATAGATATAAGTATACCTATATATGTATAATATATGAAGGCCATGTGTTTCGATAGTATATTTTAGCTCGCTTCATAAAATAACAGGGGTGTTGCAGGTCAATGTGTCATACTTCCGGGGGATAAATATCATACACCTAAAAAAATTGTGAAAACCAGAAGCCAAATAATCGAAACCAAATACATAATAATAATGTGGTACCTTTATATCGTTTGATATTTATACGGTTCATTATTTCTGAAAGTATCGTTAACCATACATTATTATAATAATAAATTATGAGTATCATAAAACTTGAATAATGATGTAATTTCGATAACGTGTTTTTCCCTTTTTGGATTGTATATACTCGGGTACTCGTGTTGCATCTTCTCGTTATAATAAGATTGCATAGTAACCCCTGTTCGTATAATATTACGTTATAACAATAAATAGCGCTTACCTTATGACCGTCAAATATAATATCGATGAGCGTATCCGAAAACGGCGGCATAAACGTAATAATATAACGTACGGAATTCACACGAGTGCGTATTTGACTGCAGTGTAGAAAAAACAACTATCGAGTTAAAATGACATTTAACGAAACCGAAAAAAAAACTGTCGACAGGACATTATGTTGGAAAATAGCTGATTTGTTGTTCCGTCGTGTTGTATAGTAATAATCCCTGGAAAAATTGCGGTCCGGGATATTAAATCCATAATATTATGCTTCGAATTAGATATATTATTTATTTTTAGATTCTAAATGTAGAGAACGAAAAATTGGTTTACTAGGATGTGTTAGAAAACTCTATAAAAATACTACATATTGTTCAAACTGTACCTTATATTTGATTTTTGTCCATTAGTACTTTACTTGAAATATCTTTCAGGATTCTCAACAGATTTTCTAAAACAAATTAAAAATACTAACGAACAAATTACGACGAATTGATTTTAATATTGGGTTAGTATCTTCACAAGAAGTCTCGTCAAAATTATTCTACTCATTATTCACTATGGTAAAAATTATAAATAAAATGTATTGTTATTAAAAATGAATGTGGCCCACAGAAACTTCTGCTTACATGATGTGGCCCAGTCTTCAGAAAAGGTTTTGGACGCCACTGCTCTATAAAATCTGGCCCAAGTGTAATTTTCAACACTAAACAAATTATCCTTATTAACTCAACGTTTCGTTAAAAATCATTTCTTGTATTAGGTCTAAAAGTACACGCGAGTATAAGTTTTATTTTTGAATAGGTACGCATGAGTGTTATGTTTCAATTATTTTGTTTTCAATACTGCGTGTATTTTATTCGATTTGCCCATACGCGTAAGTGTAATTTATATTATGAAACGCGTTTGCGAATACGTTATCAATATGACTCGCGGATGTTGTTGCGTTTGCAATTATTTCCACTGATTGAATATTTATTGCATAGTAAGTTTTATAATATAGTGAATTTCGTGGAAGTATATACGAGTCGAAATCCAAACATTTACAATGTACATTTTTGGCATATTTTCAATTTTATTTAAATTTTGTTGATACTTAAAATAATATTATTTTATAACTAATGTTTTTTTTTTTTTTTTTTTTTTGATTTTTCACGTTATTTTACGTTGTTTAAACAAATTTTATCATAACCATCAGATTGTATATATATATACTATATAGTATAACTTTATTATAAATCTATAATTATTACACTAAAAGTATTTAGTCTTCTGTTACACTTTTTTAGGTTGTTTAGAATTCGAGTGTAACAAGGAATGTATTTTTGGTCTTACTATATGTGCTTTTTTTTCTGTCGATAAACAATTTTTATCTTCAACCTACACCGTACATTTTGCTTAGGTTATAAAATTTAAAAGTGGTTTCTGGTAGCAAATCTTGACTTGTTAGCACATGAGACTGATCATTTGTTAATTTTCCTTGAAATTTTCTTAATAATTAGGAAGAGACGTATTTATTTACTGGCATATTTGTATCAAAACGGTTGTTGTTAATTTTAATTTGTTTTTTGTTGTTGTTGTGATAATTACATTTCAAAATAATTATAGAAAGCTAACAATTTTACCGAAGACTTCTTTTAATCACGTATAAAAGATTTGATTTGTTTTCAAATCATTCTGACATTTTTTAAGTTATCTATAGTTATTTAAAATATTCGTGTCATTTATTTTTTTTTTTTGGTTTTATGTAGATAAATAATTTTTTGGCATTCAAAAAATTTGGCATACACGAAAATTGTATATATATATAATCAGTACAATGACGTAGCCAGAAATTTTGATTTGGGAAAGCTTAATCCCACTAAAACAAAAACTCCCTATTAAACATTCTCTTCACTTTATACTTTCCTTCCCTTACACTTTTTGTAAAATTATGTTTAATAGATTGTGGCATAAATACACAAACAAGATTAATTGTAGCTGAAAAATTCACATCTAAACCGTCATCATTATGTATTATTAATGCAGTCAATATTTAACAATTCATAATTATTAACTTTACATCATTTTAATAGCTATTAATTATTAAATCATCAGTATGATACCTAAATCTTAATTAAATATAACTATATTAAGTAAGTTTATTAACCGAGTCGTGCGTTTAACTAATTATATAGTTAATGAAACAAAAATGCATGCACACCTAAAGTTTTAATACGAATTATACTACGATCAAATTCGGCGAAATGGCATTTACATTATATGACTTGAGTAATGCTTGGAAATTTAACACAAGGCACATCATAAGTTGTACTTAATGGTCTGAAAAACAAATTTGAGTTTAGTTAGGTTTTTTTTTTTTTTTTCATACATGTTTTAAGATCAAATTATTTTGAAAATTGTATAAGATTCTACATTTCAAAATATATCCTACCGAATTTCCTTCCGAATCGTTTTTTAGATAAAAACAGTGACGTACGCGGGGGAGCAAAAGACTGAACCCCCCCCCCAATTGACCGTATAAGTGGCGACTATCTCGAAGAATATAACAGGTGCTCATTTAAAAAGAACTAGTAACCCCTAGCAGTATTTCGGATAACTCCAAAAATTACTAATTTCATAAAAAACGTTTTAACCTACCAACATTTAAAGTTTATTTTAATGGGGTTTTTAATTCTTTTAAAATTTCGGGACACATAAAAACTTTTTAGGTTTTTTAATATATTCATTTCACACCAGTGGCATAACTAAGGGTGGTGTTATGTGAGTGATATATCACCCCTAAAACCTTTTTTTTCTACATAAAATATTAATATTGACGTATATATATGTATAATGGACGTTATGGATATGAATATTACTAATGACAAATACTCAAATCACCTCTAAAGGTCCCAGTTACTCAATTGCTTCACGCATACTAATATACTATAATTTATTGTCTATAAATTATGTACTAACTACTAAATACAAAGTATGTGTAAATACATTTTATTCATCATTAGAGCTCGAATTTATGTGTGTTTATGATACAAAAATATGTATTTATATGACCAAAATATGTACATGAATATGTGCTAAATACTCTTAAATACTCTTAATAAGCATAGTTACAAACTATGCATATTTGAATTTTTTTAGTGAAATTATATCGTTTTGAAAATATTATTTTAAAAATTAAAAATTATTATTTAGCTATACAAATTGAGACAAATTAATTATTACTTAAAAATTAATTTATTATTAACCAATTTGATTACAATGAATTACAATACGCATTCCATGAAATGCACAATAGGCATGTGTTTCTATCCGTCGTGATCAAAGGCCATAGACATAACAGATTCTTTTATTCTATTAATCTATAACATTTTAGTATTATGAATTTATGTC